ACACACACACACACACACACACACACACACACACACACACACACACAGAGTTTCTGATTGCATTATTCCCCGGTCACCTGTTAGTGTTGTTTCAGTCACACAGCCCCTCTCTTTCTCAGTGTACTATGCCTCAGGCTGCAGCATCGCCCGTTTCCCAGAAGACGGAATAGTGATTGCCAAGAATCTCAAGGACCAAGGTACCAGCGGCGCTCTTCAAGTTTTGAACCCAGCTGAGCTTAGCGTAGCGCAGTGCTGGCCAGCAGCCATGCAGGCAGCTTTTCAATCCGTGTGTCTTTAGTTCAGATATAACACCACAGAGTGTGTGTGTGTGTTGTGTGCTCTTTTCACAGGTCTGGAAGTGTTAAAGCAGGAGACGGCAGTAGTGGAGGGAGTTCCCATCCTCGGACTATACCAAACACCGTCTGACGGGGGAGGTCGCATCGCTCTGTACGGCGATTCTAACTGTATAGACGACAGCCACAGACAGAAAGGTGAAGTCTCCTCAGGGTTCTGATGCGTGGATGCTGTTTCACTTTTTTTTTACTCAGAACGAAGGCAAAGCCGACAGTGCTGTCTAATATTTGTTCCGTCTCGATCTCTCAGACTGCTTCTGGATGCTGGACGCTCTCCTTCAGTACACCTCCTACAGTATGACCCCTCCCAGCCTCAGCCACTCCCACAGCAGGGTGACCCCGCCCACGGGCACCGAGCGCCCACTGCCACTGAGACTGGAGGGTGAGGAAAGAAAATGACACCCTAACACACATTAACAAATATGTCAATATTGTTTTCTTTTAGCATCCGAAAAATATTGTATGTGCTTGTACACCCTGCTTTAACATGAGTGACGTTATTATTACTTTTATTCAGATATATTATTTCCATTCTTGCAGGCAACCATCTTTACCGCTACTCCAAAGTTCTAGAGCCTCACCTGGGAGACCCTAAGCCCCGCCCACTACCTGCCTGCCCTCACCTGTCTTGGGCAAAGCCACAGCCGCTCAATGAGACAGCACCCAGGTATATGTGCTGAAACACTGATTGCACAACATTCTCTTTCAATTCTATCTCTATTTATGCGGCTGAATAATCATTTTCCTCAGATGCCATTGCCTTTTTTCTTCTGATTTTTGATGATGCCGGTTGAATGCATGTGGTACCCGGTTTGACCTCCTTCAGTCGCAGCCGTACACAGAGCGAGAGGCGTGTGTCTCCCAGTAGGTGGGCAACACATTGCAGTGACACTACTTTGAACCAGTCTTGAGTTCTTAACATGGAATTTATTTTTTCTGGCAGCATCAGCCTTTTTTTCCCTCCAACCTGTTAAATCAAAGTCAAATACAGTTTCATTCATCCAGATGTGGATATACTGCAACGCCAGGTGACATCGGTAGCTGAGATCAATGGGAGAGGTGCAACTCGTACATCATCTGTGATCAGCTTCCCATTGTCTGTCCCATTACGATCGGCTCTGCAGACTCTCTGCCAGCTCATACCGCCGTGAAACTATATCTCTAAGTCTCTGCTTGGCAGCAATTTTCTTCTTTTTTTTTTCTCCATCCCATCAGCAAAGTGAATCAAAGTAAAAACAAATGAATCTCACGAAGTAAAGCCTCAGTTTGGCGACGGATTCGACACATGCGGACATTATGCTGTGTAGAATCCGTCTCACTGTCTCCTCCTGCTTCTTTCTCTGCCTGTCTTTGCTCTCAGTAACCTGTGGAAGCACCAGAAGCTTCTCTCGGTGGATCTGGACAAAGTGGCTCTACCTAACGTGAGGGCTTACCGTCCCCAGGTCAGACCTCTGTCTCCCGGGGAGAGCGGGGCCTGGGACATCCCGGGAGGTAACGCACGGTTCAAAGTTATTGCTTTAATCTGACCTGGGATTAGTTTTAGAGCTGTAAAGTGGCATTTGCAGTTGAATAGTATTAAGATAAGACATGAAAGACGAAATGTGTCACTCTTCAGTTTGTCTTTGATTGTACACTATTAATTATCCTAGTGGCTGGTTATTAATTTGAGAGTTGATTGTGTGTGAGAATGAAGATGTTAAAGGTGGTCACCGAGATGGGCCCCATGTGACCTTGTGACCTTATGCCCTGTAGGGATAATGCCCGGCCGCTACAACCAAGAGGTGGGCCAGACCATTCCCGTGTTCGCCTTCCTGGGAGCGATGGTCGTCCTGTCTTTCTTCGTGGTCCAGCTCACAAAGGCCAAGAGCAAACCCAAGCGCAGGAAACCGCGCATCAAACGGCCGACGTACCTCCAGCAGCAGCAGCAGCAGCAGCAGCAGCAGCAGACAATGACGACGACTGGGAAAAACCCGGCAGTTTGACTGGAACTGCAACTCTGGACTGCTGCTGGAGAGCGGTGTTCACCTCCCAAAAACTGAGACGCTGTTAAACGGGACAACTTGTGTTGAGGAGCAACGCCGGAGGTGTGGGGTTATGCGGCGTCTAATGAGCCGTCGAGGCGGACGTCCGGCTGCTCTGAAGCCTGCCACCGAGACCCCGGGCGTCTCTTGGATGCTGAAAAAACTGTTTGTGCCTCTTGTCTATTCAAGGCTGTGTGTGTGTGTGTGTGTGTGAGAGAGAGAGAGAGAGAGAGAGAGAGAGAGAGAGAGAGAGAGAGAGAGAGAGAGAGAGAGAGAGAGAGAGAGAGAGAGAGAGAGAGAGAGAGAGAGAGAGAGAGAGCGTGCGTGCGTGCGTGCGTGCGTGCGTGCGTGCGTGCGTGCGAATGAACAGTATTAGACATCGATGATGTAAAACACACAGGATACACCTGGCCCTAAAAATGCCTGTTTGAGACAGACTCTACACTTCCTGCTCTTCACTTGGACCAAACTGTTTCCTTATGAATGAAAATGTGTCTGCGTTTTTTATATTTATTGAATCGGTTCACACCCTAACACACACACAAGTACAAGATATTTCATGCTCACACACGTAAAACATGGACACGTAGTTGTGCACACATTTCCAACGTGAGGACCATTGGATGTCTTCTTCTGTGTCAACATCCACTGTTTTGTAAGACCGGCCCATATCTGTTTAAAATCACTGTCTTTTCATTGTTTTTATATTTTCTATAATGAATAAACTCTGGCCAGATATTCTGTTGATATCCTTCATGATCTCATGGTAGCATTGTTTAATAAATATATCTCATCAATTAAAAAGCATAATCAAAGTGCTCGGTCATTGTTGTTGTTTTTATGGCTGTTAATACTTTGGTTCTGTGTTTGATTTAGAATTCATTTCTATAAAAGATATAACACTTCTCAGATGTGATAGTTGTAAGTTCATTCAGACACACACTGCTGTTCACCTGCTATACTGAGGTTTTTCTTCTTTCCTTTAATAATTCATATTTTAATCGCGATAAATTAAAGAAAAACAGTATAATTTAGACACCAAAATGTATTATTTAACTTTGAAACAGATGAAGATGAATTGAAATAAGAAGTCAATGTCCTCACAGTGTTGCATGAAGGGCAATGATCAAATTGGGGACAGAGGACATGTCCACCCCACTTTTTCAGAATGCAGTATTGGACACCCCCTTTTAAAGTCCATACATGTGTGTATGTACATACACACACATGCAGTATACATATATATATATATTTATTTAAAATCCATGTTATTGCAATAATCCCAGAGAGTTAAGTTGATACCTGTGAGCGTGAACACGACCACCACCACAAAATATAGAGCACCAGCTATCTCAGCAGTTACATCATGAAGAGACAAACCTGTTGTGGAAAAAAATGTCATCTTTGAAGAGAATAATTCAGAAGGAAGGATTTTTCTGCCTTTATTCATCAGCGGTCAGAGTAATGTTATGCAGAAAGCTCACTGGCCTGAATTGAATTGGGGACATTGTATTAACAGTTTATGACACTAGGACACCCTGAAGATTTCCATATTTTTAGGAATGAACCTTACAGTTCGCACATACACTGAACAAGTCAAAGTTATTCATGCAGGTCAAATTGTCAGCAATGTCAATCAGCAACGTGTTTACAGTTTTCCTTCCAATTTCTTGGCAGTTTGATGGAAGCTGTCAAAACATTCGGCCACAGTCACCACAAGCGGAACAGTGGAGGTTATTCTTGTGACGTGTTCCTTCTTTTCCATTCTGCAGGTTAGTGAAATGCATTTTGTCCATTTCTTTGGCTTTTGTGCGGGAATAATTATATCATTTTCTGTGGAGTAATTACAGATTGAATGGACTAATTCCATTTTACTCGTGGTTTTAGTATTGGTCGTGGGCTGGATTCAGTGATGCAGGTTGATTTCATCAGAGGTGATGTGCATCGGTGTGCTCGGGGGTCTGAGCTTTGGCTCCTTATCCGGGCCTAATAGGCCAGATCAGCCTGTGAATCTGTCACCCGTCCTCTTGGATGACGGCCCCGCTGGAGTGCTAATCTCCCCCGGAGCCTTGGGAAACTGGGAAATGACCTCGGAGCCAGCTAGCTGTGCTAACGAGATTTGGGAAAGCTGGTGGTGAGTGGAGGTCACATGCCCTCTTTCCCTCCGCGGTTCCCAGATGCCAGGACTTCCTGTCAGGGCAATCAGGTCGCCTGCTCGCATCCCGGACAGCTAGCTGAAAGAGACACCGTGGTGGCTCTGGGCTGAACCCTTCAACCCCCCCCCCCCCGCCTTTAATTCATCAGTTCCTCCCTCATCATATGTCCTACCAGCCTGTTCCTCTCCTCGTCCACTTTCTCCATGAAGGTGTGTGTGAGCATGAAAGGCAGGCCAACACTCCTGCGTCCCCTCCTGCCACACCTGTTCACATGTCCCTCCCACTGCTTCCATCAGTCCTCCTCAGGGCCGAGATGTAAACGTGTCGCTGGCTGATGTGAGCCTTTACAAAGAAGGAGCCATGACTCAAGTTCACAGGACTTGGACTCGAGTCATGAATCAGGCGGCATCAGACGGATGACTTGTGACTTCACTTGGATTCTAGCCAAAGATTAGAAATATTGATACAACAAAAGGGCACAACGCATCTACTGACACCCTCTGAATCATCTGACAGAGGCGCTCGCAATCAATTTAGGAGGCAGCCGATGATGTCGTGTCATGTGTCAAGAATGGCAACACACAGAATGTTTAAATCAAAATGACAGATACTTGTAGTTGTGTAGCTTTTAAATTACATTGAGTTTAACTGAAAGTGGTAAATGCTCATTTTTATCAGGACAAAATGCTAATGTCACTATGCTAACATGCTAATGTTTGGAAGGTTGAAGGTTTACCATGTTATCCATCTCCGCTGTTCCGTGTGTTAGCATGCTAATATGATGGGAATGGCATTAGCTTTTTTTTCAGGTTTTGATCATAAACTGAAGTACTGGATGGGTCGAAACTTTGACCTGATGATGACACAACAGGTGTCGACTGCGGCATCCCTGGATCCATTAGGACTTATGGAAGGGCCTGCAGCACCTGAGCAGTAAAAGGACCCCATATTACATTCTTCTTACCCGTTATCTCCATGATTAGCTCATATTCAAAGATAATTTGTGAGATTCATTTTCTTTGTACCGTTCCTGTAAATTCTAAACAGAAGGATTTCAGGTTATCATCTGATTCGGGCCACGTCCTTCCTCCGCTGGCTTCAACCTTCAATCTGTTGCCCTGTGACTGCACTGCAGGAAATTGATTTGTGTTGGATTTTTTTGTTCATTTACATTCATGAAATGGAACTTAAGCTCCTTAATTTCAAGAGTTGGGACGTTGGGGAATTGTTTTGGGGGGGGGGGGGGGGGGCGACCTCAAATGCCTTTTGTACCTTGAAATCAATTCTGTGCAAGACATTTACAAGTTGATGTACCCGTGTTACTGCAATACTGGACATTTGTTGACTGTTGATGTTTGCTCCTCCTTCCAGGCCATGTGAGCTGCAGAACGAATGAGTAACCTACAGAAAAAACAAACAAACATTTTGAAGTGGATTTGAGTTTTTCATTACCGCCTGAGGTGTAATCAGATTGGTTTCACCCACATAAAAAGGCATCAGTGGTCGATCTGATCGTTTATGCTTGTGTGAAAATAATTCCTCTCACATTTAAACCTTCACTGACTTTACTGCATGTGATAGCCTGGCCGGTCTGGACACAAGACATTCTGGCCCCACACAGACGTCCTCTTGTGCCGAGATTGTTTTATCCAAACGTTCCCATTCCCTACATTTTCTTCCCTTTCACATATTGACATCAACAGATTTGACAGTGAGCCAGGCAGCCTAACACACACACACGCACACACACACACACACACACACACACACACACACACACACACACACAAACTGCCCCTGCCCCGCCCACACACTGTGTGAATAGTTTGAGGATTTTTGCAAAATGCACAGCCTAAAACTATTTTCAAGATTTCTCAGAGCCAGTACGCTGGCGAATCAGGAGAATTGTGTTTAGTTAAACAAAACCAGGCAGTTTGGTTTTTCTAATATAGACTTCTGGCTTACATGGTGTGTGTGATGATTGTTGTGTATAATTTTGCATTATGTGTGCCATCCTGTTTGTTCAGTGCTGTTATGTCTTAAGTGTTACCTGAAAGAGATAAAGAGCTTAAAGCTAACTGTGGTACAATACATTAAATAGGTTTATGTTAACCATATTGTACATGGCCCCTTACAAATAAATAAAATAAATACATAAATTGTGAGTGGGCTGACAAAATATGCCAATCATCATTTTTATTATAGTTTGATCAAGACTAGTTTGTGAACCAGGGAGTCCCCTTTTAGCTGGAATTATCACCATTGTACATTTTGTTCAGACACGCAGAGATGCTTTGAATTGATGACATTGAAGCCTTTTTCATTCATAAGATTCATAGAGGCTGCTTCATTATGGTACTCCACTGCACCTTACTGTGACACTTACATTGTTCACAATTTTGTATTCAAATCAAATGTCATGTAAAAGTCCCCCTGTGGTTCTCTCTCTGAGAGGTTCGCTAAAATATCCGAGCTGCACCTGAAGGCAGCAGCAGCAGCAGCAGCAGCAGCAGCCATCCATCGGGCCCCTCCCTCCCTCCCTCCCTCCGCCCTCCACCCGGCTCACCTTGCTCAGTGAGCGGCTCCGGCCCGCGGAGGAGTTGGGGTGGTGAGCAGACCGGCCGCACCGTGTGGATGTTCGTACTTATGTGTGCGCATGTGCGTCAGTGTGTCCCAGCGTGAGTTTCCCGCCGGTTGAAGCATGGAGGAGTTAGCCAGAGAGAGCATCAGTCTACTGGCTTCAGCCTCGGCCAAGCCCCGACTGGATGTGGCCGCCGGGCCCCGGCTCGGCTCCTTGGGGGCCATTTTCATCATGCTGAAATCCGCCCTGGGCGCCGGCCTCCTCAACTTCCCCTGGGCCTTCGAGAGAGCCGGGGGCATCCGCAGCGCAGTCACCGTGGAGCTGGTGGGCATTTTTGAAAACTAAAGATAAGATTAAAAAAATGATATTTCTGCCTGTAGAATATGAGATTTCTCGGCATTGCTAGATTTCTGGTAGACATTTCAAAAGTTTGCTTTTAAAGGTGACTTATTTTATTATTTTAAGCAACTTTTTATATTTATCTTTTGTTTGGAAGTCTGTTGTAGGAGAGATGCGTCTTATCTACAGAGGTCTACTGAGATCAATTAAGGAGATTGTGATGTCTTCCACCTGACCGGTGAGGCCATGTCAGACTTGACCTCAGCACCTTTTTAGAGTCCCTTCATCTTTATCAGTAGAACTTTTCTTCTGTTGCTCACACCACTGCAATATTGAACATTGATTCTGTGATTTAATTTTTTTTATTTACTATAGTTTTCAGCCCAAACCAGAACTTGCATAACCTTTTCACCCCAGTTGGCCATTGCTTTGACCCAGAAACAGAACTTTAAATATCTGTCTTAGTCGTGTGTAAAAGGTTCCCCAGACTCAACACAAATCCCATTTCTCATTCTGCTCACCCAACCAAGCATTCCTCTTGCACTTGTTTTTTAATTATTTTTTGTAAAACTCTAAAGGTCCAAGAGTTTAACAGAAATATTTAAATCATTCATTTATTCTCCTGGTGTCCTGGCTCCTCCATTCATTTGATGATTGAAAAGTATTAAGTTCAGAGCATCTGTGACTTTGCTGCTCTGCACTAATGCTGTGACATCCTACAGACTTTGTCTTTGTATCTACATTGTCTGTCCTCCATGTTGTGTCAGGTTCAATGTCAACTAGAAAGTCAGTTTTTTCCCCCTCTTTATTTGTAGGCTGTTTGATTTGCCACCCTACGGTCTCCTTGTCTTGTCCTATTCCACAGTTGAATGTGAAATGAAATGAATGAATTATCTCGCCCTGAAACAAAAAGGGGTTTTGTCTACCAAAACTTCTGAAACATAATTCAAGATAGTTTTAATATTTAGTTTAAAGTGTGTATTACTTTTTTGGCCAGCAAGCTGACAGCCTCAAATCAGGCTCGTAAAATTGTTAGCACGGCTAACACGTTAGCAAATGGTCACCTAATTACACGTAGCATCAATTTAACGTCACTTTTTTTTGGACATCTGACTAAAAAGCCAGACAGCGCTGTTATGGTCTGCTGTCTGAAGTTTTTTTTTTTTTATATAAAAACGGTGAAACTAAACGATACAATCATTGTGCTGTAAAACCTAAACCGTTAGCTAAAAAGCTTAATAACGGAGCTTCAGAGGGACCACTCTGTTTCATATACAGTGTTTCATTATGAGAACACCTCTTTCATACCACAGTCTTATTAGCGCATCGTTTTCACTAATATTAATGGTGGGTTAAGGTTATTCCAAAAGATTCTACAGTATTTGCTAACTGGCTGCGTTTTGTATCATTTTTAATTGATTGTCGTTCAGACAAAATGAGCAATTTTGGTGCATCACTTTGGCTTTGTGAAACTTGTCACGGGAGAATAACATTTGTTCTTTTTATATATTAAATTAATAACTTATCAAAAAATGAATCTCTAGATTACCGACAATGAAAGCATTGATTAAATACTCGAGAAACGGGTCATATGGTGTCGTCTATGAGACCGCTCCATTAATCCCATCTTGGGCTGCGATAATACCCTTAACCACGCAATGCCTAAAGATTAGTACTTTTAATATGTTGAATCAATGGCGGCATTAAACGTTTGCGTTCAGCTCATTGTATTCTGTTTAAGAGCTTTCCTCCTAGAAGCTACAAAACAGAACATCCTGTTCAGAGTTGTTGTTGCTAAACGAGGTTGCCTGAGTCTAAAGTTTTCTTTTCCTCTTTACTTCTTAAATGAGGCCAGGTCTTCCCATTACACTACATCGGTGCTAAATATCTGGCTGGAGACTTGGCAGCAACTTTAGAGCATAATTGGATCATAGATTATTTTTTTTAATTTGTGTCCGAGCTTGCTCTTCTGTGCTCCATGTGTTTCCCTTCAGGTTCTCTACAGACCTTATTTGCATAATTGCTGTCATTTGTTTGTCTGTGTTGGAGACTTTTGACTGTACATCAGTTCAGCAGGGACCTACAACCCTGAAGGATGCTTCCTCCCTCCAGTGTTCATTCCTGTCTCTCTGTTTAGGTTGTGTAGCTGGTTTTCTTACATTGACCGGTAGAAACACTTTACGTCTTACAATTGTTTCTGTTTCCCTTTTGCCTCTAACGTTTTAGAGCAAGCATTTGTGAGGACACTGGACGTACCCATAGGGAGGCCTTTCACGTACTTCCTGTCCCTCGTATTGGTTTTTCATTGTCACTCAACGGGTTCAGTCCCAAAAGCTAGATAGGCTTCTCATCCACTCAGGCATTCAGCAGTTGTGCGAGTGAAAAAAGATGTGAGGACCAGTACAGACCGTGTAAATTAGTTTAAAAAAAAGAATAAGTAACTTCAGGCATAGTATTTTCTGAAATCATTTTGAATGTATTGTTAATGTGATCCTGTGTTAATATAAAAAAAATTTAACAAGACACAATTCTCATTGAATTTTGTCCAAATGAGAGCTAGACCTGTACATCTGTATATTCCAAACTAGATTTCAGGTACATTTAGAAATTCTGTTACCATTATAGTTCAAAATGTCCAGCTCGTATGTATCTTGCTCACAATTCTTTAAAACAAAACATTCAAGGGATGGTTTGTGTTTTGCGTCTGTGTAAAAATGATATAATTACCATTCCCTATCTGGTGGTATAGTGTAACCTCTGAGGAATGTTCACCGGCATCGTCTCATTTTTGGGGCAAATCAGTGTTTCATTTGGACTGAGCCAAAAGAGAGCCCCCCCAAAAAAAGTGTAATCTGTATCTTTTAGCTCCGCCCTCCTTCCTCCCCTCAGGTCTCCCTTGTGTTCCTGGTCAGCGGTCTGATCATCCTGGGCTACTCGTCGTCCATCAGTGGCCAGTGCACGTACCAGGCGGTGGTGAAGGAGGTGTGCGGTCCGGCCATCGGTCAGCTGTGTGAGATCTGCTTCGTCTTCAACCTCTTCATGATCTCCGTGGCCTTCCTGGTGATTGTGGACGACCAGCTGGAGAAGTGTGAGTTGGAGCGTCTGTATTCTCCCCTCAGTTAAAGGGCACGTTTCTGTCGTTGTTTGTTTCGTGACTGTTTTTTTCTCCGTCAGTGTGCGGCTCCCTGTACGAGCTGATCACCGATCTGCCGGCGTCGGAGATGCCGCACCACTTCTACACGGACCAGCACTTCGGGCTGGTGCTGCTCTGCCTCTTCCTCATCCTGCCGCTGTCCATCCCCAAAGAGATCAGCATTCAGAAATACATCAGGTCAGGCGTCTCGTGTCACATGTGGGAATTCAATGTGTGTGTATATTCATTTTAGATTTTAAGTATTTTTTATTAAAAGGTATTATTTGATCTAACCCTTTGGTCGAGAACAAGATAGGAGAACAACTACTGGCCAGATTTGCCATCAGATGTCGTGTTCAGGGTCACCACAGGTTGCTACATATTAACTCTGGTGGCCACTGAGCTCCACCATTGGCTCAAAATCTCCTCTTCACCAACGCTTTGATGCATAACAATGTAACTTCAAAGCGAATGCCCAGATTTACACAAAATGGGAATCAAAAGTTCAAACTAATATGCATATCTTTCATGTATATTTTATAAGCTCTTCTCCAGTGCCACTAACAATTCAAGATGTCTAATTCATACACCAAATATCTTACAATTCAACAGGCAGATTAACATCGAGAAGCAGCTCAACACACCCTGAAAATCGATGGGAGGCCAAACAATTCATAAACCCGGCAACGATGGACTACATTTGTTCAATTCAATTTATTTTGTATAGCCCAAAATTACAAATTTGCCTTAGAGGGCTTAACAGTCTGTACACATACGACATCCTCTGTCCCAGGACCCTCACATCGGTACAGAGAAGAAAGTTCCCGGGAAAAACAACCTTTAACGGGGAGAAAAAAGGAAGAAGCCTTAGGCAGAGCAGCAGAGGAAGGATCCCACTCCCTGGATGGACAGAGGTACAATAGATGTCATGTGTACAGAATAATACACCCCCCCCATCCAGCTGACTTGTGCTAAGCTCACAGATATACATATCAAGTTGTTGGCGTCTGTCTCGGCCAGGTGGTTGTTTGGACTCCCATAAATATCTGTTCGGTCTCGCTGCAGTGACGTAGAAGTGTACTCCAGGGCGTGTCAGTGCACCATGACATCACTGTTGGTTGTCGCAATGTCTGTCATTCTGTCTCAGTGTCTGATTTCTGTCTCCGTCCTCTCACAGTGGTCTTGGCACTCTGGCTGCAACCTACCTGACCATTGCCATCATCGTGAAATACTACACCACGCCTTCTGTTCTGGTTCACATCTCGCCTCTCTACACCAGTGGGTATGCATTTATGTGTGTGTGTGTGAAGACAATTGATGGGATCCAGGAGTCCAAACGATCCATTTGCTCCACTGGTCACAAATGGCTAGTGAAGTCCAAATGAGTGCAGAGAGTAGATGTGTCGGACTAATTGGTTCCATCAGGAGTGCAATGAACTGTCGAAGCTGTAGTTAACGTCCTCATTGTCTGTCTTGCACAGCTGTATGTTTTCAAAGAACGCCGTCTTCCTGTTCGAGGCATTTATTTCATGACATTCAAGTGTTTTCCTTTTTATTGAAACAAAAAACGCTCACAAAATGTGCAATAATTACATCAAATAAGTTTTAGCCATATGACCCATAAAAACTCATTTGCTCCTATTTAGGTCTGTAAACAACTGAAAGAATGAATAGACACTAGCCTATGCCAACATATAGGCTGAAAATAAAGACTGCCGATCTCTTCCTTTGTCCTTACAGTACCCAGGACACACACACCCACCCACCTACCCTCTACACACAACAGCGCTATCCGTCTGAGGATTACTCATAATTAATGTTGATGCATAATTAATAGTGTGGAATTACTATCCCTTATGTCATGTGCTATTTGGGATTTCTGAGGTAATGTGTATATGTGTATATATATATATATATATATATATATATAATAATATATATAATATAATATAATTTGCAGCACGCTGTGCAATCCTGTCCGCGACTGACTATTTACTCTCCGTGCACACACACCCCTTCCTCGTCTTCTATTCTGCCACCTCAGACCACAGTGTCTAGTCCCCCTACTGGCCCCGCCTGTCATTGACCCCCTCGCCGCAATTCTCCCCATTCAGACTGTTGCGACAGACAGGCTGCTCCGTCCACACCGCACTCACAAAGCCAGAAACAAAAACAATCTGTATATGTGCAGAAAAAAAACAAAAAACCCAAAAATAACTAGAACAAAATGCAAAAAATAACTAGGTGTCTTTTTGAAAAGTACAATTTTGGATTTGAGGTTCTCTTTTCTCTGCCATAAATAAACTTAATCACCACAGCAAGTTCATATAATGAGGTTTCTATGAGGAAATATGAATTATCCATGAATCTGCTCTGAATCCAGGCCACCAGGACGGACTAAAGTAGGTGAAGCCGTTCTGCTCGCTCGTCTCCTTGAACCCCCGTGTCGCCGATCAGACTCTCTTGTCTGTTTCAGCGACTTACCTCGGCAGCTGTTGTCAGCCTCGTGTGCCAGTGATTGATGGATGAACTCTCTGGTGAAGTTTCTCCAAATGCCACGGCGTTATGAATGGAGCCCTAATAATACCTCGTTTTCTTCATCATCTCGTGGCGTTTGTGAACTCCAGGGGAAAAAAAAATGACCGTTGTCTCCTCACGTCTGTGTGCAGGATCAGCTCCTGGTCCTCCATGTTCAGCGTCATACCGACCATCTGCTTTGGTTTCCAGGTGAGTTCATCAAATTTGAAATGTATTCACGTAAAATAGACCCGGGTAACCTGTGTTTGAGGGTTTATGCAGGAGTGCGTGCTTAAGTTATGGCTGCAAAATTGCAAATACATGCAAGTGACTGCATTTAAAGTGATTACCCAGCAAGTAAAGAAGCATCAAATCTCCATAACCATTTTACTTTAAAGATATGGTTCAACCAAATTGCAGAAAAGATGTTTATTTTTTAGCCTCTAGCCTTACAGTTAGTTTGGGTTTTTACGCTATTTGTTGAGGTCGGCCCACACCTCAAAACAATGGAGGTAAATGGAATTTCACAGTCAATATGACAAACCTTCTTGAAGTAATGACTAAGTAATTCAAAAGAATGACCTCGTAAAATGAGATGCTCTCTCAAAATGGGATAGTAGAGCGCCCTCCCCATGTGCAAAAGGTGAGTCCTTACCGCGGTGGCCTGGGTTCTAATTCGACCGGGGGCCATTTGCTGCATGTCTCCCCTCTCCCGTCTAATTCTGACTGTATAATAATGGCCAATCTTAAACGCAAAGTATCTCAAAACAATGACTTGGTATCGTAAAACGAGAAACAACAAATAATTACTTGGTACCTCGAAAAAGACTTTTGCAAAATAGTTATTATTTCAAGATGCTAAGTCATTATTTTGAGATATTAACGCATTTTTTTGAGAGTTTCTCATTATTTGACTGAAAGGATCTTTTTTTCATGAAATTGGTGGAAATGGGCTTCCATACATATGAGAGGTGTCTACAGCAAAATCTTTGGATTTCAGTGCTGTGAGCACCGCAAACATAATTCCATTCACCATTGTATTGGGGTAAGGCAGATGTTTGAGAGAGAACTTGGACAAATGGCAGATATTGAAGCGATTATAGAGTTTTATTTTTTCTATAACTTGGGGAGCTGGACGTTCTAAGGAGTGTTTTTAACGTGTCGTAAAGGTCAGCAGGCTGGGGCCGAGAGTGAGCTTTTCATATTTAATAGAGGTAGGGTTCTCGATAAGCGATCATTCTGTCAATCTAAAGCAAGACGGACTGTTGTGTAACTTCCCAAGTTGCCAAGGTAACCCCTGAGGGATGCAGGATCTAATAAAAGGAGGAGAAGGCAGAAACGGACTGCTGCATGTCCTGTCACACAAACACACACACACACACAGAGACACGCTTCCTCGGGGTGAGTGATTGCGCCGCAAAGGGGTTGAAAAGAGAGCTGATGAGATCCTGAGAGGAGTGGAGGAGGAGGAGGAGGAGGAGGCGGGATTTAAAACCAGGCGATGGCAGCTGGGATCAAGTGGGGACAAGAGTCTGTATCCTGACCGCCGGGATTGTTGAAGTCACCCCATTGTGCCGCTCGGAGCCCACAGCCTTCATTTAATTCCCTATCTCATCTCAGTTCATCTCACCGGCAGAGAGATCACGGATAATAAGACTTTTGGATCCTCACCCCCGCACCGTGAGCTCCAAACGGATGAGGAAAAGCCTAAGGTTGGCTGTTACAGAGGCACACGATCTGTGTGGCCGACAGCTCGTCTCTAGTTTATCGGTCAGTGGGTCTGTATCTAGTCTCAGGAGTTTAATCCGACCACATCTCTGAACCCGTCGTCTATCGGGTCAATTTAGCCTCTGTGGCCTCAGTCACGAACTCGGTCTACGTTCCTACCCTCACCTGTGGTCACGAACTCTGGGTCGTGACCGATAGGACAAGGTCGCGGCTACAAGCGGCCGAAATGAGTTTCCTCCGTAGGGTGGCCGGGCTCAGCCTTAGAGATAGGGTAAGGAGCTCGGTCATCAGGAGGGAGCTTGGAGTCGAGCCGCTACTCCTTCGCGTTGAAAGGAGTCAGCTGAGGTGGTTCGGGCATCTAATTAGGATGCCTCCTGGACTCCTCCCACTGGAGGTGTTCCAGGCACGTCCAACTGGGAAGAGACCCCGGGGAAGACCCAGAACACGCTGGAGAGCTTACATCTCCCAGCTGGCCTGGGAACGCCTCGGGATCCCCCAGAATGAGCTGGAACATGTTGCCGGTGAGAGGGAGGTCTGGGTCAGCCTGCTTGGCCTGCTCCCACCTCGACCCGACCCCGGATAAGCGGAGGAAAATGGATGGATGGATGGATGGGCAACGTTCAGGTGTAGCCAGCAGATACCCGGATAACGGATAAGCGGGCCAAGGCTTTCTCTTCATGTGCTGGTCAATGGTTACAGTCCAATTATGCAACAGATGGACGTGAGAATGAAGTCGAGAGCCGACGTCTACAGCTGGATTATTAATTAAACAAGTTGCCAATTTACACTTATGTGATTGCAGATTTTAAAAAAAAGTGACTAAAAAGCTGAATAGTCGTCTCCGATTAAAGATGCACCGATTTCCAAGTTTTTTTTTTTTTTTTCTTTTTTTTTTTTTTTTTTTTTGGCAGATTTTTTTGTAAACCACTGTGTCGGGGGAAAATTGTTAATTGTTCTAATGTGACTTATATTTTGACTTAAATCTGTCCACATGTGGTTTCGGTCTAGTGTGAACTTTGACCTATGGGCAACAGAGCAGGGGTTTCCTGCGTCTTCTGGGAACCAAAGTGGGGGCAGCTTCTCAAATGTGGGGAGCCTTATAGGAGACAGATGGTTACTTGATTTTGTGTAAACATCCCTCAGACAACAGGAGACTGACTGACTGGAGTTTGATTGACATGCAGCTTCCTGCTGATGGGGGGGAAAGGCGACACTCAGTCGTGTTCTTAAGGCTCGCTTCTTTGTGGAGAAGTCAGTCTCTCTTGATCCTCCAGGGTGAAGGAGACGCTCTCAATGCTATCAGCTGATTAGCAACGTATGACTGTTTTATTCAGTTTAATCTGTTAGTGCACATTTGAGCTCTTTGGGCTCATTAGATCTGTTTGATTTTGTTTATTTGTTTGTATGCTTTTGATCATTTTTCTATATCTTTATCTTGTAATAAATACAATAAGTGTCTAAGTTGGTTGTTCCAAAACATTTTTTACGGTTGTTCCTACACAGCTTATTTTGGACTTAAACATTAAACTTTGTGTCTTCTTCACTCACGACAACGTATTGTGTGTGGCGAATATGTCTGCCAATGTAAAAACTGTCTTGCAGCACTCGTGTGTGGAAAAACAAATCTGAAATATTAAACTTATCGGCCCATCAGCTGAAAACCGGTAAGTATCCGTCATCAGCTGATCGATCGGTGCATTTCTACTTCCGAAACCAAAATCTTGTCCGATTGCCTACAGATTCTGCCTTCATATGTTATAGATATACTTACGAAGTTTGTAGGGAATAACTCCAACCAACAGCTGATCTCACCTTTACTCCCCTTGTCCGTGTGTTTGTTCCAGTGCCACGAGGCGTGCATCACCATCTACAGCAGCATGGAGAACCAGCGGCTCTCTCACTGGGTCTTCATCTCTGTGGTCTCCATGATCTTTTGTCTCGTCATCTACTCCCTCACAGGTGCTTTGTGTTCGGTTGGTTTTGATACAGAGAAGTCTGCTCTTCAGCCGCACGTTGGGTTTAGGGCTAATTAGAAATGTCAGCAAGCTAAACTAAGATGGTGAACATACTTCATATGTAATGTCGGCATGCTCATGTTGGTGTTGAGGTTCCGTCTTTCTCTGTCGCAGGGGCTTATGGGTACCTGACATTTGGAAAGGACGTGAAGGCCGACATTCTGATGTCGTACACTGGCGATGACATTCTGATTCTCATCGCCAGGCTGCTGTTTGGAATCTCCATCATCACCATCTATCCCATCATCCTGCTGCTGGGCAGGTCAGGCACACGGCCTTAGTGAATTTACATCAACCTCAGTTACATCTTTGTAAAGAGACCTTTCCACTTTATTTAGATGATGAAAAGTCTTCTGAAATGTTTAGATAAAGAGGATGCGTTTTATGTAAAGCAAATACAGTCGTACTCAGAACCTCGAATGTTCTCAAATTCTCTGCCTGGGTTACACTGTTTTGGCTGCATGAATACTTGTAAGCCTCACTGGTCGATCAAAAACACACTCGCTCCTTCACACCAGGTCCGTGATCCAGGACCCCCTGCTGAGCTGGCGGCGGCGGAGGCGGCACGGCGCAGTGACCGCGGAGTTCGAGAGCCGCAGCCGCTACGTGCTATCGGTCCTGTGGATCACGTTGACGCTGCTCATCGCCACGTACGTGCCGGACATCAGCAAGGTCATCAGCGTCATCGGAGGGATCAGCGCCTTCTTCATCTTCATCTTCCCAGGTAACACTCTAGGTTACACATTCATATTCTCTTGTGTGTGTGTGTGTGTGTGTGTGTGTGTAGCCCTTAAACCCTCCGACCCTGTGATGTGTGTTTGGACAGGACTCTGTTTGATGTTCGCCATGCAGTCGGAGCCAGTCTCCTGTAAAACAAGGTGAGAACCAGCTTCATTTATTTAAATGTTAATGTGTTGTAAATATACTTCTGAGTCTGTTTGTTCTTCCTGACACTTTGTCAATATGTTTTGCTCTGAATGTGTCGATCACTGTCGGCCATATGAACACATCGAGAGGTGATGTACCTTCATGGGACCTTATTTTAAATAAAATGCGTAATTATAAGGACTACACACCCTAAAGTCACGGAGGTTCTGCTCGCGCCAAGGCTCCGATGCACGTCTGTGTTTTGGATGTCCTCGCTCTAACAATAGGTCTCGTTCTCGGCTGATTTAAAAAAAATAAAAAAAAGAGTTGCTGGATAAAACATGTCGGGTAAGAAAACCGCTTCGCTTCTCTATAAACATAACAAATGGTGTGACACTGTTTAAAAACATCAAATCAATATGTGCAGATCACGCTTCACTAAACTCTGTAAGTAGACTTGAGGCGTAAAAGAACGCAGCCGCTCTCGTCAGACTTGCAGAGCCGGCGTGGATTGATCCATTTAATAAAATGTTCTGTGAGATACAAATATATCCAAACAATCTGACTACAAATCATAGAAAAAGATCCTCCTTAATCTCCTTCAGTATCAAAGTAACCAGCGTTGGTTGTCTGTAGATTCATGGGGACATTGTAAACAGGAACTGCTAATAGCTATTTTCACAATTCTTTTAACTGGGCCAATTTGCCAAAATGTATACAGATGGACTAAAGGGATGATGCTATTGTTTTTTTTATTTTTTTGAACTGACTGATCTGAGAGGCATTTGCTTCAGTTATTCCATTTCTTTGTCACCTGTACCTGCTCCTCTCCAGAGTGGTCCTCACAGCATGGGGAGTGGTGACCCTGCTCTGCGGGGCTTTCATCTTCGGCCAGAGCACCACCACCGCCGTCATGCAGGTCCTCGGGAAGATCTGACAGCTCCTCCTCCATCACTGATCCAAGGGGTTGACATGGAGACCAGATCACGTCCCCCTTTCCTCTCCCCTAAAGAGCCCATGACTAAATTATGACCACCGTGGACTTGAAGAATGGACACGGCCCCTGAACTACAGAGTGGCCCCTCAAAACTTGCAACTACTGTAATGGCCTTTAACCCCCCCCCCCTCACTTTCATTCGGGTTAATTGTTCCTAGCTGCACGTGACAACGAGCTCCGTCTGCCTCTTGCCTTACTGAGACAATCTGATTGAAATCCTCAGGTTTGTTCATATTTATATTGTAACTGATCTGCTGTATTTGTGCATATCAGCATTAGACCTGGCTGTATTTGAGAACACATTAACATACAGTATGTGGGTAAGGAGCTTAAACTGATGGTGGGCAGGGTGTTGAAGACATGTTTGTTTCTTTTTTTCCATCTTTGTTATTTTCTTGAACAATGTATTACATTTGAATGGTGGGCACAATATTTAATTGTCAGTAGTGTAACATTATACCGATATGAAATTCAAACTTGACAGCTGTTATTATGTGTGCCAAACATGGTGCAGTAAGCCAGTTACCACTAGAATATGAGAAGGAGGCCTGATTGGGAATATTTCAAAGAGCTGCTGGTGTCTAGAGCCGTAGAGATGCTCCGGAAACCACGACCACCGGAGCGGTAAACTATCACCGCTGCAATATGCAACCGAGGGCTGGAACGCTACCAAAATGCACACCCACGTCAACCAGGGGTGACATTAATGGCTGTAATGATGCCAGGACATGTTAGCTGTGTGTTAGCAAGTTACTGTAGTTAGCCACAGCTCTTTGACACGTAATACTGCAACGCTTTCTGACTTGTTTGCGAGCAGATGGAATTCCCCTCCGGTGTGGGCGGGACTTAATCGCTCTATATGTTTTAGGAAGACTTGGGTTGACGGGTTGCTTGAGGTTTGTCACAACAAAAGGGCTGCGAGGAGGTTTTCTTGATGTTTCTGTATAGTTGGATGCAAGTGTGTGTGAATAAGTCATGTTATTTCTTTTGATTGTTAAAAAGAAAAATGTGCTGCACTTAACTTTTTTTTTTTTATTAAATATCCAAGTAGTCACATTAAAGGTGAATATTAAGTTAATAAAAAGATAATTGAATAAAATACTTTTTATATGAAACCTTCGTTGAATGTGCATTTGTTTGCTCTTGTTACTCTGAACCAGGCATCTTATTCAGTAGCCTCAAGCGCAGCTACATTTTGCTGTGAACCAGCTGATAAGTATTGCAGATTTGAAAGAGTGGTCAAACTCAAAGCGACAGAATTATTATTAAATAGATTAAGATCTATTCGAGAGTCATGTCTCACAACCGTTCACAATTGATTTGATTTTGAGTGGAAACCAGCTGTGAAATGCTGCCCATGTGACAGTGAATCAGCAATATTGTATCTATAATAACACACTCAAAAAGTACTTTTACTTTTGATACTATGTACATTTTGCTGATAATACTTTTGTACTTAAAGGTGCAATGAGTAAGATTTTCCTAAAAAAAACAATATATTGATTTGTGCAAAAATAATAATCCCTCAATCATCACTTATGACCCACTAGAAGTGTATCTACACAGACCTGCGTGAGTTAAAAACTATTTTCTTTTCATTTTAATTGCAATATAATTTTGGCCTTGACGTTTCTGAGCGTCAACCTGTATAAAATCGTAGCGACCAGGTTCCAGACCGTAAGCACGCATCCAGGAAGCTATAAAAATGCCAAGCTGACAAAGTTCAATCCAAACCGATGGTGATAGGGCCTACTTTGAATGTTGTTTACAAACAGACTAACCCTACTCACTGTGCCTTTAAGTGAAATTTTGAATGAATTTTATTGACATTCATTCAATTGACAAAAGAGGTAGTGTTTCCGAGCACCAGAGTCCCTTTTAGAAAACCCTGCTCAGTCCTGGTTGTGGTTCTCCTGTGTCTCCCTTCATTCAGCGTGTCGAGCATCACAACCCGGGTCTCCTGCAGCGAGCTCGAGGAGTTCCTGGTGAACCTGCATGATTTCATCTGACATCAAATTTTGCGCGGAATCCGACCCGGTGGCATCAATAACCAGCATAAAGAATAACTACATAGAAATAAACAATTCTCTCACTGATGGTCCTGTTTACTCTCTGTACATCCTATAGAGCCATCAGTATTACATAGAGACCGTTTCATAAAAGTTCCTCACAGTGATTTGGCTGTGCGCAGCTCTCCAATTGCTGTTTTGCATTGCATGGTGGGGGAATAGTGCACATCAACAACACACTCAAAAATCTGCAGTATTTAGCGTGTATACCGTGTGGGGTAAATATACTTCATTTTGCCGCTTTCCCGATGTGGACACAGAATCCAAATTAGAATTAGAATGAGTTTGGAACACTCTGTAACCAAGACCAATAAGCTGAAAGTGCTGCTTTTAATGAGGCTGTGCCACACACCCTGCACCAGGCCTGTGCTTTGTCGGGTTGAGATCGGGTGAACCGGATGGTTTACAGCTTACCCCGTTCTAATGCTTATCAAACCGTGAAGTAAACATTTGTGAGCGGAGGATTGTCCTGCAGGATGATAAAGAACGACTGAAAGTTCAAATGAATCGCAGAAGCTTTCCGCATGAAACAATGTGAATCAGACGGGATTTTCAAATCAAAGCCACAGTTTCCAGTTTTATAGTTTTATTGAATTGCATCACTCTACATCATCTAGAATTTCAACAAGATATTCTTTAAAGACCAAATATAATACTTGCATCCCTGCATTAAGTCTCTACACTTAAGAGAAAGCTGTTTTACTGAAACATACATTAAGAATTAATATTTCATTAAACATTGCCATAAAAGTGACTGTTCATTCTTAAATGCCATTTTTTCTAGTCATATATATATATATATATATATATATATATTTATATATATATTTGTATATATATATTTATATATATATTTGTATATATATTTGTATATATATATTTATATAATAGATTTTAGTTTCTGTCTCCTTCATAGGAATACTAGAAAAGAAATAAGGTAAGAAATGCACAAAACCCATTGAAGAGTAGCATGGCCCTAATACTACAGCAAAGAAGTTACTGGACATTCAGTTGACATGCACTCAGTTGAAGGATAGAAAAAGAACGCGGCCATAGAAGGGAAGAGCTATGGCCTTGATCTGCTTGTCAAATTCCTGATTGGCTTGGTATCGTGAGGTAAACCTGGTGACACGCTTCCTGTTCACCAGCTTTCCTGCAGCCACAGAGACCGCTGCTGCTTACAGGAAGGCCTGACCTCCGCATGTGTCTGTTCATGTCGCCAGGGAACGTTCAATCAAGGCCCGTTTCACTGCATCTCAACGGCATAACTCTTCCCGTTGTATGGCGAAGCACGGAGGGGGGGGGGTGGAGTAGGAGGATAGAAAAGAACGGGTTGCACAGTCTGAGGGACATTCAGGAATGTATCAATAGGAAACAGTATTGGCATTTCTGACGGGTCACTCGCTATCTACCTCATAGACACAACCCAACGGGGCTGGGCACAATGTACAGGAAAGAAACCCTCGGTTGGACGTGTGGGCTGCATTCAGCTGAGCACTCGAGTACTGTAAAACTATGGCTATCAGTATAGTAAGTCACTGACATGTAAACATCAATCCATGCAATATGGCTTTATGTTTTTATTCAGAACACAGCAGCTCCTTCTGGAACGCAAACAAGGATTTGGCACAGGAGTGCAAGTAGTTATATAT